TAGATATGGAGAAGCTGACCAGTAGTTAGTGTAAAGGATTTTCGGACAGCGACAGGTTTCTAAAAGAGAAGGAAAGACGAAAAAAAGAAGAAAACAAATTCCATTTCTTTTAGCAGAAGGACAAAAATCAATACTCACCAATATGCTAATGTCCTACCCTCCCACTCACCTCTCCCTCGTCGAGAGAACCAAATCACGACACCATATAAAGAAGTGGTCTGCATTACTTATCTCCTAGGGGGGGGGGGGGGGGGGGGGGGGGTGTTGGAGAATTTTTTTTGTATCAAGATATAATTTACCTCGTCCCCCCATAAGACTCTGAAATATGCTTATGAACCCCCTTCTTGCCAGTTAATTGGCAGTAAATTTCAAGTAAAGTTCTGAAAACAATTTACAATGAGGCTGCTATCATTTTTCTCTTCTCCTGGTATTTCACTCCCGCACCAAACTTACCACCATAAACATAATCGCTATAAGGGCCCATGCCCTTTTGAGTGAACGCCGCCACTTTAATTTCGTAAATTGAGTAGGTTTGAACTTTCAAAAATATGAAGAGATCCGTTGATTTTGCTGTGGCTGTTTCCTCCTCCAATGGAAGAACTTCCTTTTCAGCTGTTACAATTCTTCGATAGTTTATGGAATACCCCATGAGAAGACCACCGACATAACCAAAAGGCACAGGACTCCAGGTGACTTTAATGAATTCTGCAGCTTTTAGTCTTTCAGCAGCTACGCTTTGAGGAGGCTTGCTAGGTACTAAGAAAAAAAAGCTCCTGATAAAACCATAGATTGATTGATAAGATTTCAGAGCCTTAGCGAAAGACTGCTGAAATATGCCAGACTTCTTCTGAAAATCTAGCTGGCTCGGAAGCACTCAACCAATTTCAAATCTTAAAAATATTATGCATCACGATATTCTTCCGCGTTATTCTTCCGCGCAGCTATAAAGCCTACGCTAACCGTCCTTCATCACATTTCTATGTTCATGACTGCTTCATCCTCTATCAAGAAAACTTGTGAAGATATTAAAGAAGGTTGTCATTTCTAATTTTTGATAAGCCATCCTTGACCCTGTGCCTTTAAAAATCCTCTATAACGGTCTTCCATATATTTCTTGATAAGTCAGCCCTAATAATCTGTTTTTAAATCAGTCAATATCCCCCATATATTGTTTTTTCTCCCTAAGAACTCTTTAAATGGAAATATGGTGCACGGAGACATTTTTTAACTTCTGGAAGTAAAAGAGTTAACTGTGAATAGAAGAGTGCATAAACTCACCATCTCCAAACGTATAAGCGATGTCAGAATACTCTTCGCCACAGCCTTTTGATGTTCTAGCGCAAACCACAACTTTGTATGGTGTGAAATATTCCAGATCTTTTAAATGTATTTCATATTCATCTACACCTAGTGTCTTGCTCACCCAAGGCGATGACCCATCATCTATTGCGTATCTCACCTCGTACCCTAGAAGTACTCCATGCACATGGACTTGGCTGATTTGTTCCCAGGACACACGGATTGAATTCTCACTTGTAGATTTAATGACGCTATTGGGAGGCGGTTCACTTGGCACTGGGTAGAGAAAAAAGTAGTACTAAGTTCAATATAGAAAGGTTATAAGAACAGAAAAGTATTCAGCTTGTTGAAGAAAACCTAACTCATCCGCATTACAAATGAGATAAAGCAAGGGACAATGTCATGTAATTGACAAAGAATTGTATATGGTCTACTCTCTTGCGCAACTGTTGTGATCCCTCAAACCTGAATAATTTAATTTCAGCAATGCCACACCTATATGGTGGCTCTTACTTCGATTTTTACCGAATCAAATTGAAATTTGGGGTGTTTGTCACGGTGGGAGAAAAAAAGGAAATCACAGACAAAGTCAGCTCACTTTGGCAACCCTTTCAACTCCGACAGTAAGTAACCTACCATTCATTTGCATAGTTTTACAAAAAATGTCGTACAAGCAGATGTACAGGATCAACAGGGGGGTCATTTTGATATAACACACAGTTCTCTAAGCTGATTTTTATAGATTTATTTGACGTGCTAGCGAGAGGCCTGGCCCAGAAACTGAAAATTTTCTCCTCATATTTCAGACTCACCGTCCTCCTGAGTGCTGACAGAGACTGCCTTACTAGACACTCCATTTCCGCTGCTTGTAAAAGCATACACCCGGATGGTGTAGTTAGTAAACTTTTTTAAATCCTCAAGCACTGCTTTTGAGGGATTGGGAGGTAATGATTTCATAATATCTGGTTGGAATTTTCGATTGATTTCTTTGTACACTATAACATAGCCAAGCAGTGGAGCAGAAGGTGGCTGGAAGACAGCAGTCCATTCCAACTCAATGCTCGTCGAAGTGGTACTAGTAGCCTCCGTGATGAGCGGAGCTCCCGGTACTGCGGAACAAAAATACTGTCAAAGCTATCCAAATCACGTAATGCGTGCTGAGCAGAGATTTTGATGGTTTAAAATGTATTTTAGCCCGCTCTCACGATTGTTCAGACTGTTTCGTTTTTAATTTCTTCAGTTCTCATAATAATGGCCATACAGCTTATGATCTACGCGGCCTAATTATGTTTTAGGCCCTCAGCTCTTTGAGTTGATCTTTGCCATTATGTACTGGCTTGGGCTAAAATGCCTCTTGGACCCGGAACATACTCAATGCCGAAGTAAATATACTATGTCGTTTTATTATTTGAAGGTCTTTAGCGTCTCCTTTTTAACATAAGTTATAAGACACTTTGGCAGCTTAAAAATTGAAACCTAACAAGACATTTTCATTAAAGACTACGCAATTGCGAAGAGGAAGAATCATCGATGAGCCACACGTATTTTGCAAAATTTTGGATTTTTTTCATTTTTTCCAGAAGTCTTTGGTATATTAAGCGCCAGCTCTCAGAGATAGTTACAGCTAACGTCTCTAGACATTTTAAGAAATATTTATATCTTACATCTTTGTCAACGATAAGCCAAAGGCGTGAGAAAAGAACTATAGGCCAAATCAGAGTCGTCCTTGATTGGAAGTCGTCAAAATCCAAAGAAATTACGAAGGCTTAGTAGAACAAAATATAGTCTCGCAGTGGAACAATGCAGTGAGCTCAGAGCCAAAACTAGCAAAATGCCCGAAGGGTACTAGCTTCTCAAGCTAATGATGGAGGGTATCACAGAAGAAGCAGCGCAATCCGGCAATGCTATTTATACTCATCAGTTGAGAATTACTTTGCTTACGTACCATTCGAGGCTGTGATGTTAAGCAACTCAGCTGAAGTTTCGCCCAATGCACCTCCCGCTATTTCTTCTTGAAGAGAAACGATCTGTAACGAGTCTATTCCAGGGTAGGTAACGTTAAAACTAGAAATAACACTTCCTGGTCTGAAAATGAAGACGAATTAAAGCCATCATTTCCGAATACAAATCGTTGATAACATGATGTTATATTGTTTAGTGCGCTTCATCGTGTAATAATGAGGTTTAAAGCCTCATACATGACTTGCATGAAACTACCGCAGGTATATTTTTGCTTCTCACAAAGTGGATGCTAGTCTATCATAAGTTACACTCCACCATTAAGTCAGGCTGGTACTCTCTAAAACTTGTCATGTTTCTAATGAATCCTAAACATAACTTACATAACGTACCTGAACTCTAAAACCACCACTGTAACATCTTCATCTCTTTTGTTATAAAAATTGATTACCTAGAGAGAACGACAAAAAAAAAACCAACAAACAAACAAACAAACAGAAAAGCAAAACGTTAATAAGGAAATTAATCTCGAACTAAACTTAGCCAAATTCAAAACTAGAAAAATCTTAACTCCAACCCTTAGCAAATCCCTAACCCCGCATCCAGAGTCCCGTGCCTCGTTTCTCGTATTTCGCATCCCAAAGCCCGTACTCTGTGGCCTGATTCTCTCATCCTTAACCCTATTTCCTGCTGCGCCTCGAGCAATTCTTACGCTTCTTTCTTGTGCTCAAAACTTCCTTCATGCATCCATACTCCTTGTATACGCGCGTTACACATGAACCAATTTTGAGATTTTTTTACAATTTGACTGCCCAAAAACCGGCATCAGTGCCGCCCCGTCAGTAAAATGCACTGGCAATTATGCTTACATAAATCGTGTAACAGACTAAAATTGTCGTAACACAAATGACCTCTTTCTTAATTGTATCTTCAAGGTCCATGTAATCTTCAGTTTCCACACTAGCTAGATTGCTGTTCCAGTCTCTACTTTTTAACTTGAGTTTGTAGTTTATCATTTCAGCTGAAAATCGAAAAAAAATAGTTATTGGCAGATGCATTAATATTTTTTGTCATATAAATGGACCTTGAAAGGTTACCGAATATCTCGATCGAAGAATTAAAGTCATAGAAAGTAAACCTACACATCGTACAAGCAACACCGAACCTGGACAACTTGCCAAATTACAGCTCTCCGTTTCTGTGGGTAAACCTTCGCAGTTTTTCCCTCCAAAAGCTGGTGCTGGGTTATCACATCTGCGTTTTCTTGTTTTAGATCCGCCATTACAGGGCTTGTTACAGTTGGGCCATTCATTCCAGTCGCTCCAGTTGCCGTGAACTTGAAAATGCCAGAAAGATTTAAGAAGTTAATTTAATGCGACAAGAGTACATTTTCATGAAAGGACCAGCCACTTCCAAAATAAATTGACGCCGAAAACGTTTGATCTCGGTAATAAAAGGAGTATATTACTTATGGGTGCTTGGTATAGCATAGAGTAAACCGGAGACCCGTGGGATATCGCTGGCCGCAGAAATGAAGATTTCACGGTATGATGCTGAACCACTGAGCAAAAGAGAAGTCGTTGGTTAGCCAAACCACTCCTTTTCCTCCTCTATCTATCCACGCTCAAGACGCTTGTAAAATTTCTGATCGTAGCAGTATACTCCATGCTACTCATGCTTAGCTCAATATAGAGTATTCTGAACTATCTCGGCGGTTGGGTAATAGAACGCCATATCTCGAGGTCTAAAATTCCATTAATCTAAGGAGGCTCGAATTCTCCTCTTTCTTACGTTCATTAAGCTTAACAACAACGACAACAACTTTGCGTTTAAACTTTTTAGAAGCTGTCCTACCTATCCTATTCTCACATGTATCACCGGTGTATTCTGAGGTACAATTGCAGGTGAAATCCTTCAGGTCAGCTGTCCTTGTACAATTACCATCATTTTTACATGGATTGGGGAGACAGGGATCATCTATTGAGAGATATACCCAAAGCAAAGCTCTTAAACTTTTGAAACGTGCTGCAGCTTAAAAATGATCTTTGATAATGATGCCTAACCTAAAAGTTCGAAATTTCTATCTTTTGGGTTTCAAAACCTAAAGACAGCTTAGAAAGTAGGAAATGAGTTGAGCTCGTTCCGTAAACTTGTTAATCACGATAATGGCAGACAAGCATAATTTCTATGCGACATAAATATAACACTCACAAAGTCTTTAAAAATTCTCTGTTTCACCCATAATATTTTCTCATAAAATATTTAGAGATTCTATGGACATAAAGTGTACGCGTACATCTCTGTGAAATACACATCATTACGAACCAGCACTCAAAACTATGACACGTCATGGGATGATGTTGTTTCGTAAATATTATGCTCACGTTGTCTAAAAAGTAAAGTTATCAATTATTCTGGTAAACACGATAACACCTTTCAGAAGAGAGCAATCAAAACCGACAAATTCTGAAGAGCAGTTGCAACTGTATCCAAGAAGGTTGTTCTCCGCTGTGCACATCCCGTCATTGTTGCAGGGGTTGTCCGAGCATCGGTCACCTGATGAGGAACTTTGACTTAGAAAAATGCAAATATATTCAATACCTTGCAATATAAATACATAGCTCTGACTTCCATGAGAGACTGCTAAATAGTTAAGTTCTCATTCAAATAAGGCCTACAAAGAAGAAAATAAACTTGATAAATTGATGCAACTTTATGACTGGTTGATATATAAAGAAATGGGCAGAATAGTTTACGTATAAACAAACGGATGAACGGACTTCAATTAAAGGATTTATGAAATCACTGAGTCTTTGGCACAATTATTGATTGCACTTTTGGTGCATTTCTTATACCTTGCTCGACGCCGCAGTTAAATCCAATATACCCTGAAGGGCAGCTGCATTCAAAACCCAGCGGGTTACTCTCCGCTGTACAAGTTCCTCCATTCAGACAGGGCTCGGGTGAACACGGGTCACCTGTAGAATAGATAAAAAAATGAAAAAAGTCTGAAAAAAGTCAAATTCAGAGGGAAAAACTTGATATACGTCCGACCTAGTGCATCAAGTGAATTTAAGATCTGGAAAGTTGTCTTTGTTGAAGGAGGAAAACTAAAATAACCTCTGAAAAACCCCCAGAATATGGATGACAATTGAACCAAACTTAGCCCCTATGTAAATACAGATACGTGAACCGAACCCGAGCCAAAATGATTGCGCGGCACTTCGCATGCATCTCGTTATTCCTGCTTCTACCACCAAAAAAACACCTTTTAAAGAGTGTCCTAATGACTGATTGTACTTTCAATTGAGTTCTCTTTTGTGTTTGGTTTAATTTATTTTCATAACATTATCTATTAGCATTCATCTCTCTAATTTTAATATGTGAGCTTGCTTATCTGTCATGGAAGAGTCCATTAATTCCTTTACACACCTTATTTGCCCCTATAATAAAACCAAGAGGTCACTTCTTCATTTCCTTTACGTTTCGTAAGATACACAGCCTCGATGCCGAGCGATTGGACCTTTTGAAAACGAGGCGTTGTGCTCGTCACCTCCTTCTACATCATCCCACCCTCTAATAACATCAATGACCATAGTACCTGACTGGGATCCACAATTATAACTTAAGTACGACAATGGACATTCGCACTCAAAATACGGCCATTCATTGATGTATCCACAAGTTCCTCCGTTGAAACAAGGAGTAGGGGAACACTGATCAGCTGTTGATAAGGAGAAGAATATTTAATCTGAAAACTTACTTTCTAACTGTTTTAGTTCTGCTAGTCTAAACATTGTTATTAGTTTACTGGTAAGTCAATGGAGTCATTCTGTCATTCTCTTATTTCGATATGCTGTCAGCCTATCGCTTTTTTTTTCTATCACTCCATCACCTTGTCATTCTCTCATTCAACAATTTTTTTTAATACTTTTTCTCTTTCATCATATCATTCTGCTATTCTGTCATTCGGTCAATCTTCCCTTCTGTGACTCTTTCAACCTTTCATTTTCGTTCATTATATCATTCAGTATTGATGTTTCCCTCTTTCTTCCTTTCTGGCAACCTTTCATTCTGTTGTTTCAGTCTGTCCATCAGCCTGTAAATTCATTAGTTTATTCCTCCATCTGTGTTCTTGCTTTTTTGTTTGTTTGTTTGATGATGTAATCACATGATTACTTCATCTTTTATCTGTTTCTTTAATTCTCGGTCTATGTATTTGTTAGAGGTCTAAAGAGGGACATAATGAAGTTCCTTACGAATTTGATGCCAGCAATCATGGCCCAGGTATCCAGCTGGACAACTGCATCTGAAGTACGGCCAGTAATCAAGGAATAAACAGGTACCTCCATTTAAACACGGCCGACTAAGTGTGCATACATCACCTGTTATGAAATGGAAAAAGAGGGTATGATCTGGATTCAACCTGAACATGCCGAGTTTTCATTGAAACTGGAGAAGTCTCTTACCAATCTCACATCTATCACCATTGTATGTGGAAGGACAACTGCAAGTGTAACCTCCGGTTCTCAAGTTACGGTTACAGGTTCCACCATTCCGACAGGGATGTGCCAAACACGAATCTAAAGACATTTTAAAAGATAATTAAAAAGTTTGAAAAATAACTGAGGAGAGAGTTAAGTGTGCGTCTGGCAGCAAAGCGTTGCTCAGTAGAAAGATTCGCAAGAATATTACTGTCGGTGACTATGTTAAGCATCTAAGGTTTGTGTACCCCTTTTCTGCTCACCATCCATGATAAATGGCGAGTTATGTAAAGAAGCCTAAATGAGAACGGTTATAAATTAAATAACAAGTTTGAATGATTACTAGATTCATGCGAAAGCGTTAAGAATATTCGATCTCGATTTCCATGAATGAAAATTGATTCGGGCTTCACCCTCGTCAAATATCACACGAAAGAAATTTCGTGATTACGATCTAATTGTTATATTGTTGACGACCACGGAATAGACGATTGTGAGTTTAAATCCAGAGCAAATAATATAATTGTTTCAGTATAAATCCAATGGATATACAGAACCTTGTAACAAGAGAGAATCATGATTTTCATTGTAATTCGTTTTCAACCGCTTAAGGCTATTCTTGCAGGCACAGTTGTCAATCAGACTCAAGTATTTTTGAGAGATCGCTGGAAGATGGATTCTTTCCATTCATATCCGAAATTTGCTTTTAATTGCTTTCAGATGTTATACTGATTGTGTTTTATCTAAAAATTCTTTATTACCTCTACATCCATAGAGCTCTATCCTCAATGCTATGTTATTGTGCCACTGCCTTGTATAGAAGCGAAAGAAACTCGCTCTGACTGGTGGCTCCAGTTCATGACGGGAAACGCTGCTACTGTCTGTATTTGCAACAAATAACTGAAATTGGAAAGAAGGTAATCTGTGAAAGATTGATAAGAGGCTTAATAAAAGAAAATTTAAACTGTAAAAAGCGACGAATCAGTCACTCGCCACCGTTTAGATGGAGGATGGGACACTCCATCTTAGAGCATATCCTGAACCCTCTTCATCGGATCTGAGGTATTGAATAATATTTATCACAGTTACGGTGATGATGAACGATGAACTTAGTAAAATTAAAGCTTAAGTGCAAGCTGAAGAAACTAAACACAATTTTGAGCCTTTCGTTTTAACCACATTCCATTTATACTTTTTTTAAATCACGACAATACACCTGAGCTTATCTCAAGGAATTAAGCGAATCCTGGCATTTCTAAGACTTCATAAAAAACATTCAGGGTGTTGTTGTTGTTGTTGTTTTATATTTCCCTTTTTTTTTGTTCTTTTTTTTTAAGGTTTCTTATTCCTGAGAAAAGCCGAAACAGCCCACGTGTGCCCTTTGCACCTCTCTGTCAGATTGATGAATGAATGGTAAAGCGTTCAACATTATCAATCCAAGGTCCTGCTTACATAATAAACAAAATAATACACAGTTACCTGTAGGTATCGACTTTTCGTCGAGTGTTAAAATTTTTTTCAACAGGTGAGCACAGCAATCCTTGAACATTGAATACTTGAAGAGCAATTTTATACCCTCGCCCATGGATTATTCTCTATTTCACTCACCTTGGAGTGGATATCCCCATGACCCTTGTATAACTGCGCTCGTACTCCAGCTCCCCAGTACCTCAGCAGGAAATTTTTGACCCATGCTCCTCTTTTACCCTGTTTTCCTTGGGTAGCTACACCAGTGACCCAGGTCAGCTCGTTCCCCAAATTAACCTGCAACCATTGATCTCTATGGTCCAGTAAAGGTACCCAAGACTTTGGCTTCTTTTTGTTCTCGTAGTGCAGTCTTGCATAGCGAACGCTAGAAGAATTGTCTTTTTCCGAGGATGCAATAAGCTGATGGTCTCGTATTGCACCACTTTGCATCCCAAGAGGCCCGTGACACTCTGTTGTTAGAAAAAAAATGTTCTGATTGAATATCAGAGTAAAAGTACGTCATAAAAAGCTACAAAGATCTTTAAATGTTTTTTTGTCAAATGTCGGGTGATGACTTTTTTTTAACGAAACACTCATTACTCAGCAAGTCAAAAATTTTGTGCCCCACAATTAATTCTCATGTACGAGATTTCTAACCGTCTGTTGACCTGTCAGTCAGTCGATCTATCCTTCAGTTCCTTTGTCAGTCTGTCCGTCTGTCACATTTTTAGTGTGTGAGTCGGTCAGTGTGTCATTTGGTCAGAAAGTAGGGGTGTCAGTCTGACATACAGTTTAACAAGGTAATTTGGTATTATCAAATGAGTTGATAACGCAAATTGGCCGCCGTTAAGAGTTTCAAAGTTAAAGTTTGGAGCGTTAGCACTTCCTCAGAGTCTATCGGTCTGCTAGGCTATCAATCTTGATAAGCTGATCTGTTTGGCGGTCAGTCACTGCGAGGCAGGGGTTCTTTCAACCTGCCATTCTGTCTGTCTGATCTACTTATCCCTGTTTGTTCAATTTATTCATTTGCCTGTCCCCTCGTTAGTTCGTTCATTCATTGAGGAACCTTGCTAGAACTCTTTTATCATTGTAATGCCAAAGAGCAACTGATGATTGCTATAAGCGATATATTGGTAAACAAGAAATGTAATTACGTTTTGTGCTACAGTCGTTCCCGGTGTACCACATGAGGCATGTACACTTGAAGCCATCTTGCGTATTACTGCAGTTTCCGCCGTTTTGACAGGGGTTTGATAAACAAAAGTCTGTATAACATACAAACACGAAAGAATACCGACGTTAAATCTTCCCTAGAGAACTAAAGCCATCGAGAGCTCAACAAGAAGTAACCAATTTGCAATGTTGTCATGATATCGACATGTTTAGTTTCCTTTTGCCCTCTCAAATGTGTTGACATTGTGTGTGGTTGTTATATGTATGCATGAATGTATGTGTGTATGTATGTATGGGTGTATGCATATATATAAAAGATGAGGTATGTAAAATTCATTGCAACTCCCTGGTACCTGGATTAGCAATGGCAGGAATGGTGAAAAACTCTTAGAAAACGGTTTGACATATCAAAATATCTAACAAGAGACCAAAGGGCTGCAGAGGGTTACTATTACTTCCTACTATAAGTTTATGTTAAATTGACGTTGAGAAAATTGTACTGTCTACTCCATTGTACCCTTAAATCTTCGGCCCTACCCTCCAAAGTGGCACACAGAGAATCAGTGTACATCGGTGGACATGCACAAGTGTAGGAGCCACTGGGATCACTGGTGCAGGTGCCATTATTCAGGCATGGATTGCTCGAACAGGGATCTGTACAACATGAATAAAATTCGTTAGTGGTAAGCCATGAAAATAAAGAAAATACCAATCACCAACAGTTTTAAAAGTTGTTATCACAAACGCACAAGAATATTTGAAATATTGTCAATGATGAACACGGCGGAGCAGGTACATAGTCAGCTTGTCAGTCAGCCAGCTAGAATTGTTCAGTAAGTCAGTCACTAATGATCAAAGATTCTGTCAATCGATCAGCCGGTTTTTCTCTCTATTTGCCTATGAGCCACTCAATCATTCTCTGGGTCAGTAAGTCGAAGTCAGTAAGTCAGTGAGTCCGTGGGTCAGTCGGTCAGTAAGTTAGTTGAAGAGTCCGCCGGTCGGTGATTCAGTGGGTCGATGAGACAGTGAGTTAGGGAGTCAGTGAGTCAGTTAGTTAGTGAGTCAGTGAGTCAGTTAGTTAGTGAGTCAGTGAGTCGGCGAGTTAGTGATTTAGTGAGTCACTGAGTCAGTGAGTTAGTGTGTCAGTGACTTAGTGAGTAAGAGAGTTGGTGAGTCAGTGTGTAAGTTAATAGGTTTGTGACTTTAGTACAGTGAGTCTTTCTTTTTTTTTTTAATTCATATCACGCTGTGCATCATATACTAAATAATTAGTCTTAAAATAAATTTTAAAAAAAGGTTTAGATGTTGTGCATCATTCAAGTAGCTTTCATCCAAAGCTTCAGGTTTGAATTGGAAACTAGCAACTGTTGATCGTTCTTGATGAAGACAAATAGAAAAAATGCTTGAATCTTTAATTACCACTGCAACCATATAACTCCACTCTCATTGCAATATTGTTGTGCCACGCCAGCACTTCAAAGCGAATTTTAGATGCTCTGATAATGGGGCTCAATTCGTGTCTGACAATACCATTACGATCTGTATTTCCTTGGAACACCTAAAATTGGTAAAATATAACAAGAAAAGAAAACAGAACTATTGATACGTGAAAGACGTTGACACTTAAGACAATGAAGTGGCACTTCTTAACAGTACTATTACTGCTACTACTTCTGCTATTATTACACTCACTACTTCTTCTACTACAACAACTACTACTATTACTTTTAATAATACTACTACTTCTACTACTACTACTACTACTACTACTACTACAACCACTACTACTACTACTACTACTTCTACTACTACCACTACTACTACTATTACTACTATTACTACCACTACTACTACTATTACTACTATTACTACTACTACTAATACTACTACTACTATACTTCTACTACTACCAAAACTACTACTACCACTACTACTACTACTACTACTACTACTACTA